GTTTTTTTTGTTTGGTGTTGTTGTCGTTGTTGTTGTTGTTGGTGGTGTTGCTGGTGTTGCTGTTGGTGTTGTTGTTGTTGTTGTTGTTGTTGTTGTTGGTGTTGTTGGTGTTGTTGTTGTTGTTGTTGGTTGTTGTTGTTGTTGTTGGTTGTTGTTGTTGTTGTTGTTGTTGTTGTTGTTGGATTCTTGAGTTGGCCCTGGTTACCTAGCCAAGGTTTGCGCCTGCTAATCCGGGCGTGTCACGCCTTTCTGCCAACTCTTGGGTGGCTGCCCGGCTGTTGCAAACGCACTTCCGTGCGTGTGTAGTTAGTTAGGATCAACGGATTGTCGGGTATCGGAAGTTTTCGGGTGCTGCATAGTGGTAGCCTGTGGGTTGTCCTTTCCACGGAACGAACTATCAGGGCTTAGTGGCCAGCTGCTGAGACACCTCCCCATCTTGCTTTTGTGCCCACTCAGGTCCATGGTTTTACTGGGATTGTGCATGGTGATGAGCGGTCTCCTCGTCGGTTCACTGCTGCAGATCTTCATATGGAATGACATGCTAGCGCTCGAGCACAAGATTTGGGTCTTCGCACGGTATGGCACCGCGTATCGATCCATATATACGTTGTTCGAAGCTTAGCGCATAGATGAGTTTGGACCACTTCGGCGTGCGTGTTCTTATGCGAGCTGATGCAGCGGAAAGGGTAGTGCCGGAAATCTTAATCTTGCATCCAAGGAAATTACCTTTGCTGGCAACTTGAAATGAATTCTATCAGGGTTCGTTTGCAAGATGCCCTGCTGGCTTCTTTGAGGAGGTGTGCACCTGCAAAATTCGGCTGTTTTCCTGCAGCCGCCCAAACCCTTTATTTATCATCCGAGTTGGTGAGAACCCTGCCAAGTGCGTTCGGGACCTACAAATGTGTCAGTACAAGTAAGGCATTGTAGTTTGGGCATGGTTGCTCTGGCAATCGGATGCTCTGGTAACGTTATTACGGCTTGGGCTTGGATGTGCTGGGAAACGGATGCTCTGGTATCGGTAGATGGTCGTGGTTATGGCTTTGTGCATGGACTGTCTTGGAAACGGATGCTTTGGTTAAAGGGCGGTATTGTGATTTGTGCATGGATGCACTGGCAAGCGGATGCTCTGGCCAGAGCGCGTCGTTGTGGTATGTTGTGGTTTGGGCATGCATGCGCTAGGCAAACGGACCTGCGTGGAGCAAACCACCACCACCACCACCACTGCTGCTGCTGCTGCTACTACTACTACTACTACTACTACTACTGCTACTGCTACTATTGCTACCGCTGCGACCACGGCGACTGTTACGACGACGACTCCTACTACTACTGCGACGACGACGACGACGACTACTACTACTACTACTTCCACACTCGTACTAGCACTTCCGCCACCGCCACCACTACCACTGCCACTACTGCTACTACTTGTGCTGCTGCTTCTGCCACTGCCACCGCCACTGCCACTACTGCTGCTGCTATTGCTGCTGACTACCACTGCTCCCACGACTGCTGCTGCTGCCGTTGCCCCCGCTGCTACTACTGCTGGCGCTGCTGCCACTGCTTCAGCGGCTACTGCTGCTGCTGCTGCTACTACTACTACTACTACTACAATACCACTATTGCAACAGCAATATCAACTACCATCACGACGACGACTACTTCTACTGCTATTTTTACTGCTGCTGCCACTGCTTTTGCTGCTGCCGCTGCCACTGCCACTGCCACTGCCACTTCTGCTGCTGCTGCTGCTGCTACTGCTACTGCTACTACTACTACTACTACTACTACTACTACTGCCGCTGCCGCTGCCGCTGCCGCTGCCACTGCCACTGCCACTGCCACTTCTGCTGCTGCTGCTGCTACTGCTACTGCTATTGCTCATGCTACTGCTGCTACAACAACAACTAGAAGAACAACAACGACAACAACAACAACCACCACCACCACCACTACTACTCCGCCGAGCTGCTGCTACACACCTTCCATAGTCTTCATAGAGATAATGCGAGCGATGAAGGAGTGCATCTGCGAATAGCTTTCTTCTGCTGCGACTTCGGCGCATCGAGTTTTTCCATCTTACTCCCAGATGTCAGGACGCTTGAAGGCATCACTGGAGCAAACCTATGAGAGGTGAATCGCCATAGTGAGAAGGAACTGCTGGGAATGCTCAGTTTTCTCTTATGACCACCCTCCAAGAACCTTCGTCCTTATAAAAGTGGGAGGCACACCTGCCCGTGATGTCTCTCAAAACTGGCTGGACTGCTGTTAAGGCAACTGGCCCACAAATGTACGACCAGTTCTTGAAAATGTCAGCGACCTATTCGTGAGACTTGGTGGCGCTTTTCGTGAGAGCTTGGGGGAGCAAGGATGGAAGTGCCCAATTCCTGCTTCGCCGAATGCCTGCCCAGTTTGAGACGCATGCATCGAGGATACCCTTCGTGCTGTACATCACGATTATAACCTTCGCAGCATTGCGCGTAATTACTGCCGTGTTTTTGAAGGAGACCTGGAAAGTCGTTGGTTGACTCTTTAGGCAGGTCCTTGCCATTGCAGAGCTGTCGTGAAGGACACCTTGGAGGCAGCTCAAAGTGATGCGGAACACCAAGTCGCAGAGAAGCTCAAGAGGAAGGCACAATATGCGACCTGCATGCTTTCAGCACATGCAGATGCTGTATCTGGACGGCCGTTCGATTGCGTGGATGAACAGGCAGCAATGCAGTGAGGGAGCATAGTCCAGCTTAGGTTGAGAAGCTGGAAGTCATGTTCAAAGCCATCGACGAAACTGGCAATGGCATGATTACCGAGGAGCGCTTGAACCAACTACTCTGCAATCCGCAGCATGACTGGCAACTTGAAGAAGAGGCTGCGCAACTGCCATGTGCATAACGCAGGGACCGATGCCGTGCCCCATGCCGCATGAAAGGGGGACGGCTGCAAGTGCCAAGGACTGTGCGGGCTTATCTTGAGACTTTGGACCTGGCTGTGCCCGAGGGCACAGCTCTCTTCCACATTCTGGCTTCTTGGCCACAGCAGAAGATCTCTGGAAGGTTCAGGGGGGATGCTTCTTCGCTTTCTGTCCGGCCCATGCAAAGCTCTGAGGACAACGGTGATGGTGAGGTGACATTGGAGGACCTTTGCCAGGGGTCTGACAGTGTGGCCACGAATGTTTTTCTGTGCTCCGAGCGACATGCATTGGGCGCACATGATACTCGTAGCAGGAGTTTATCGATGGAATTCTGCGCTGCAAGGGGCCGGCAAGAGCCATTGATCAGGCCGCAAACGAAACGGCTAGACTCCGAGAGATATATGCAACACCACTTCCTGCAAGTTGCAGTGACAGGTGGCGCTTCACGCTGACATCAGGCAGCTAGATCACAAACTCGCCGTTGCTGTGCAGCTGTGGCCTGACAGTAAAGCAGCTACAGGATGCGGGCCTTGAGAGCCAGGACCTGGAGCTGATCCCACATATGTCACCGCGCAGCTAAGGCTGAGTGACTGGGAAAGGAATCCCGACAGAAGTGGGACTCAAAGCATCGATACCGAATTGAGCCGCCTCGACAGCCGCAAGAACAAAGTGGCCGCAGCTGGGCAAGATAAGCTGGTGCAACCTTACAAGGCTCGGAGCATTCCGCATCTTTCCGCCTGTTTCGTGCTGTCAGACTGGGCAGACCAGTCAAGACGTGAAGACTTGGAGCACTTTGCGCCATGCCCTTTCTGCACCCCAACTGCGCCCGGACATAATGTCGCCTGCCGACACCACACCCCTGCCATCGACCACAAGCCCTGAGCAACAAGTGGCCCAGTAAACCTACACCTTCGTGAAGACCCCAGCAGCTACAGCTACATCCGCCAGAAAAAGGTTGCAGAGGCTTTCAAAAGAGCAGCCCATCCATGTAGCCGAATGCCATGCTATCCCAAGCATAGACCTTCCTTTGAGCTTGAGCCGAGGAACATCTGCGAGTCTTCCATCTGGACCAGTCCATGGAGATGGACATGGGAAGGAGCAGCATGGGGGTTTGGGAATTGAAACCGGTAGTAGTTTCAAGTCCTCAAAAAAGTGAACCTGCTGCATTTAAAGGTGCTCGAGGTTTGAGTCGTTGCTATTGTGTTGTCAGGATGCGAAGTGCGCGATCGGCCAGGTCCGGCAGATCGGGGTCCAGCGCTAGTGACGCACGCTACAGCATCTTCTCGGTGCTCTCGGGGGCACTCGCAACCTCCCAGCCGGGATCCCGCAAGACTTCGCAGTTAGGACACTGAATGGTGTGAAACTTCACACGATGCTTATGGTGTCCGAACTTCACGGGCCATTTCGTAAATGTCAAGCTTCTGGCAAGCTGAAGCCGTAGAGTTTTCCTGTCTCACCAAACGGCAAGCCTCCGCAGCGAGGAAACCTCAAAGCTGTGAGACAGTTCCAGCATCAAGAACCTTGTCTGTCGAAGGACGTGATGCAAAAAATCCTGGTTGTCTTGCCCTGCAGACTGCCTCAGTGCCCACGCCTTGCCTGCTCCCTTGAAGCCTGCCCCGGGTGCCAAGAAAAGGGCTGAAGCTCGTTGATGACCCATGATCCGGAAGGTGGATGGCATCTGCAGTCTGGCGGAAGTGCTGTCGAGGCGGCCCTCCTGCCCTTAAGGTCAGTATAGTCTTCGAGTCTCAGCGCGCGGGTTTCTACAGCCACCAAGCAGGTTCTCCCGAAGCCCTTAAAGGCCCATGCCTCAAGGGAGAGGAACTGGGAAACGGCCTTCGCAAGGCAGCGAAAAGTCCGTCCGCAGCTGGACGGGTGGTTGAACCAGAAGGCCGACCGACCGACATGTCAACCTTCTGCGATATACTTGCATGCAGGCATTGGTTCATACGAACTCGCATACATGTTTCTGCACTTACGTACATACGCACAATTTACGTACGTACGCATGTAAGTCATGCATACGTTCATGCAAACATGCCTATGTACGTACACACATACGTGCAGACGTATATGTTGTTGATACATACTTTCACAGTGTATGTAATGCGTACATGCATACATACATACATATATACATACATACGTCGTAGCTACGTAACGTGCGTACATACGTATACGCACACTCACAGACATACGTACATCCACACAGCCATCCATCCGTACATACCATGTGCATCCATGTGCATACATTTTTTGTCGTTATCGTTTTCATTGCGGACGCGATGGGCGACTGCCTTCCGAGTACTCGCGCATACGCTCGAGTACGCTCGAGTAGGCTCGAGTACGATCGAGTATGCTCGAGTAGGCTCGAGTACGCTCGGGTACGCTCGAGTACGCATACCCGTTCATACCCGCGCATACTCGCGCATACCCGCGCATATTCTCGCGTACCCGCGCATACTCGCGCCTACCCCTGCATACTCGCGCATACGTATTCATGCTTTCGCTAACGTGCTGACTTGCGGCTGCCAATTGTTTGTACCCTGCAATGCGGGCTTGTCCTAGCTCCGTGGGAGGCAAAAACCTAGGCGAGTGATCTCATGTCCTATAGTCCAGTCCTAGTCCAGTCCTCTCCATCTGGCGATGACGAGTAGTAGTAGTAGTAGTAGTAGTAGTAGTAGTAGCAGTAGTAGTATAGTAGCAGTAGCAGTAGCAGTAG